CACAATATCCACTGCAACCCCCTCAGTTATATTTTCTAGCTTTAGCATTTTGGGTTTATTTTTGTTTGTTTGTTTTCTGTTTTTGTTTGTTTGTTTGTTTGGTTGGTTGGTTTTTCGAGACAGGGTTTCTCTGTATTGTTTTGGAGACTGTCCTGGAACTTGCTTTGTAGACCAGGCTGGTCTCGAACTCACAGAGATCCGCCTGCCTCTGCCTCCCGAGTGCTGGGATTAAAGGCGTGTGCCACCACCGCCATGCCCTTGTTTTGTTTCTTGAGGCAGGGTCTCCCTATATCGCCCATGCTGGTCTCAAAGTCCCGGGCTCAACTTCCCAAATGGTGGGGCTGCAGGCATGCAACACTGCATCCTTACTGTCGACCTTTTGGAAGAGTGTTAGAGCCACTCATGATGGGAAATGTTCTTGGGATTTGGTTTGCTGGGGCTTCCTTGTGATTGACTCAGAGTCTGTGTTAGCAGTGAGGTTGAGGAGAGGGCATTGTTTTCTTGTGTAATTACTGAATGACCCGTGGGAGGTGTAGAGAAGCACAGGTGTCTCCTGTTCTCCAGCATGTTTTTAATAGGCGTTTTTGTGTTTATTGATCATCAACGCTCGACCAAACTCCTGAAGTTCAGCCGCAGGTGAGACTCTGGAGGTGGTGTGGAGGCTGCCAGTGAGTGGAAAACAGCATTGAGAAAGAAACATTGATTTTTTTTTTATCAAAGAGACTTTCTTCCATTTGGGACATAATTGTCCTTCCAAGGTTTAAAGTCTGAAAAAGCCAAATTCATGTGTCCATTTGTGCAGTAATTATTATTGAGTGCTTACTGCTTGCAGGGATAAATAGTAAAAATAAATAAGTCAAGTCTCTTATTGGACTTTTTGTTCTCATGGGAGGTAGACAGGAAAACTGTGTAATAAGTCAGTGGTGGGGGGAGCCTGAAACCCAAGGGAGGCAAAGAAGCTTCAGGGATCCTGCTGGGTGGATCTGGCTGGCATTGGAAATCGCCACACCATACCTAGAGAGCGTCACTCATCAGTGCAGTGTTAGGTGGCTGCCACAGAGGCAGCAGGAAAGAGGGGCGAATGACGTGGACTGGGCTCTAGCCTCACACTAGCAGGCAGGGCTCCAAGAGTGCTACCTGTGGGGTTCCAGCAGCTTCTGGGAAAGGAAGGGCGATGTCTCTGGAGTTTCTCAGTGCTGAGGTGGGTGAAAGGCGGGTGAGGGCTGGCTTGGTAAGATTCCTGTCTCCCTGCACCCTGGGTGGCTGGGCTGGATTCTTGACAAGCCTGAGCAGACCAGGGTTCCCTCTCAGGAACCTCCAGGAGCCCCAGGCCTTATGCCCAGAGCTATGTGTCCCTTGCCAGCAGAGTTAGGCTGTTTTCCAGTGTCAGTCACCCTCACCTTTGTTCCAGGATCTCTTCCCAACTTTCACAGAATTCCCTTGACAAGGCACATCTCTCTCCAGTTGAGGTAACTGACAACACAACGGAAACATGAATAGACACTGTTGTCGGTCTAGCACGTCTGTGTGTGAGAAAGTTCCTAAATGTCTTCTGCCCACCAGCTTCTGTGATTCTCATACTAACACTGCCAGGATAATGCTGTTGTTGTCCCCCAGGTTATGTAGGTGAGGGGAATTAAGCAATAGACGGGGTTGGCCACTTGCCCTTGATCACACAGCTAGTGAATGCAGACTCAGGGTTTACACCATGACTACTTGGCCCCTTTTCATCCTTTGCCTTACACTACAGATGTCATGGTATTTTTCCTCGAGGCCTCTGCAAGTTCCAGTGTGGCACCCTTCAGTCTGTTTTAGGCAGTCTCTTGCCTCTTGAAATTTATGTGTCCAGTATCTAACAATAGGTTACTTGGGAGTCAGAAGAGTGAAAAGCAAGTCTTTTTTCCAGAAGGTTGGGAGGATTTTGTGCCTTCTTTCCAGGGTCAAGTCTAGAGAATTGGACTAATGCCTCTGGTTATCCAGATGACATACTTTACTTAATGCTAATAGCAGCTGGGAGGCAGCTTTTGTGATCACCCTCTAACAGGTGAAGAATCTGAGCCTCTAGGAGGCCATTTGCCCAGAGTCATCCAGCAGAGAAGGTGAACCATTTGGCTGTTCTGTTTCCAAACTTGGGTTTCCCCACCATTGCCCAAGAGCTGATGAAGTGGGATGCTTTGTGCTCACTGGAAGTCATGTGCGTGGTGTATTATTACCTGCATATGTCGACTGACTTGGCTTTAGAAGAATTGGGCCACTGTCTTGAAAGAACACCCAGTTTTAGGCTAAGATGGTGTCTTAGCTAGGGTTTCTTTTGCTGTGAAGCGACACCATGACCACATCAATTCTTATAAAGGAAAATACTCAATTGGGGTGGTTCACTTACAGTTGAGAGGTTCAGTCCATTATGATGGCAGGAAGCATGGAAGTGTGCAGTCAGACATGGTGCTGGAGAAGTAGCCGAGAGTCCTACATCTTTCAGGCAACAGGAAGTGTTCTGAAAGTCACACTGAGGGAAGCTTGAGCAAAGGAGACCTCAAAGCTCACCCCCACATTGACAAACTTCCTCCAATAAGGTCACACCGAACACAGGGTATTAAAGAGTTCACTAGACAAATGATAAGTGGGTGTTTTATTGGGGAACAACTTACACAGATAACCCCCTGTTTCTGCTCCAGAAGATGCTGTCTCTGCCTGAGAGTACCCACCTGCCGCCCACTCCCCTACCTTCTAGTCACATCTGCACCTGAAGCCACGCCCAAAGGGGTGTGGCCACTAACACAAATTCACTGGCAAGGCAAGATACTACTACATCACACCTCCTTCAACGAGACCACACCTCCTAATAGTGCCACTGGCTGTGAGTTTATGGGGATCAATTATACCACCACAGACAGCCTTTGTCCCAGTCTTGCTTCTGCTGTGTCTCCAGCATCACTCTGAATGAGCTTTGAGTCTCTGCCACTCTCCTGTCTTATTCACAGAAGTGCAGTAAAACCACCTGCATCCTCAGACCCAGTCTGAAAGTGCAGCCTGCTGGTTCTTAGCTGGGTGCTGAGTGGTAGTCCCTAGAAGAGCATACCTGAATCCCACATGAGAAGACATGCATGTCTCTTCAGAAACATCCAGCTGATTTTGGAACACGCAGGTCACCATCTTTCCCTCCCCTGGTGATCTTTGTTGAGGCACCAGCTGTGCCATATATTATTGGCAATAGCGGGAAGGACTTACCCATAGACAGGTGGTGCTAGACCAGGGCATTCAAATACAGTCTGCAAAGAAAACTCATAGAATTTCTTTGGGTTTTCAGTTTTCACTGGGTTTCTCTGTGTAACAGCCCTGGATGTCCTGGAACTCACTGTGTAGACCAGACTGGCCTACATAGAGATCTGCCTCATAAAGATCCGCCTGTCTCTGCCTCAAGAGTGCTGGGATTAAAAGCGTGTGCCCTTGCACCTGGCTCCGGGTTTCTTACTGATTAAAACTGTTGCAACAAAGAGAGGATTTCCACATGTTCGACTCCAGCCTGAAATATATAATGATGTCCAGGCTAGCCTGGGCAACAAAGTGAGACTATGTCAATAAAACATACAGACACACAAATAGACGTAACACTGTCCTTGTTATGTCCTTGGTATGATGAAACACCGTGCCCAAAAGCAAGCTAGGGAGGAAAGGGTTAATTTGGCTTGCACTTCTACAGCATTGCTCATCACCAAAGGAAGTCAGAACAGGAACTCAAACGGTAGGAACCTGGAGGCAGGAGCTGATACAGAGACCATGAAGGGGTGCTATTTAATGGCTTGTTCCCCAGAACCACCAGCCCAGGGATGATCCCACTTGGGCCCTTCCCCATCAGTCACTAATTAAGAAAATGCCCTACAGCCAGATCTTATGGAGGTGTTTTGTTAATTGACATTCCCTTCTTTCAGATAACTCTAGCTTGTGTCAAGTTGACATAAAACTATCCAACACAATCGATGCCTTGTCAACTTGACACATACATATTACTGTTAAGCTATAACTGTTCCTTTCTTATTTATCTCCAAGATCACACACTAGTAAAACCACATCATGCAATATTTTACAAACTCAAAAATTCCAAAGGACATTTTGGAATGTCTGGAGACAGAGGATGGGGACACTAGCATCCAAGCTGAGACTGGGCTGCTGCTGCAGTTGATATGTCGAAGTACATTGCACCATAGAGCCATCCAAGCCAAAGCATTGATGGTGCCATCTGAGAAACCTGGATTGACTGTCCAGCGCTTTATTTATTTATTTATTTATTTAGTGTGTGTGTGTGTGCATGCATGTACAACACAATATATGTATAGAGGTCAGAGAGCAACTTGCAAGAGTTGGTTTTCTCTACCTACCATGTGGATCCCAGGGTATAAACTCAAGTCATCAGGCTTCCATCATGTGCCTTTACCACCTGAACCATCCCACAAGCACCCCATCCAGTACTTACGAAGTGTTTCTAAGCAGCACACATTTTTCTAAGTGCTTCTCAGGCAATTCACTCAGTTCCTCTTCCAGTATTGTGACCCAACTGTTGCTATCTTCATTTGGATATGGGGCCGTCAGTGCACACAGAGCTTAAGTAACTGGACTAGATTCCCAACTTGGAGCCACAATCCCACTCAGAGTGAGTGAGGAGCAGGCAGAGGCAGGCCTTGAGCCCAGACAGTCTGGCTCCAGAATGCACACTGAGTCTCTGAGCTGTGCTGTGCTACCCCTCCTTAAAGGAGCCAGTGGGCTTCAAGCCACATTCCAGCTTTGAGCCCAGAAAGCCACATGCTTAGACATTTGCGTGTAAGAAGTGAGAAACTTGGGTCACTGTGCCTGGGACATGGAGGTGGGGGGTGGTGGTGGCTACAGTTAATTTCATAAGGGGCCAGTGAGCCCTCAGCAAAAAAGCCTTGTCCTGTGAGGAATGTGACTCATCTCATGAACTTAATGGTCTTACTTTCTAGTTAGACTATGCTTTGTCATTGTAGATATAAAGACAACTGTGGTGTACCCTGCCACAGAGAAACACCTACAGAAATACATGCGTCAGGACCTCCGTCTGATCCGAGAAACTGGAGATGACTACAGGAACATCACTCTACCTCACCTGGAGTCCCAGAGCCTCAGCATCCAGGTGACTAGCTGCCAAGACTCATAAATGGTTGTTCCTATAGCTGACTTCTCTTCTTGCAGACACCTGTTGGGGTCATCCCAGAGATAGTACACAAAAAGCCTAGGGCAGTATGTGTGACTGTGCGACTACAATGAGGAACATGGACAGCATCTGTGGGGTAAAGCCTTCTGGTACGGGCTGGTTGCTGTTTTGTCCAGGATGGTCAGGGCAGGCTGTGTGGTCTTGGGCTCTTTATGAGGAACTGGGTATGCCACTGATATTCTCTGAGAAATCCATCCCGCTGGGGAAATTTTACATGCTCTGCAGTAGCCCTGTACAGTATGACTGTGTCCTTACTAAAGATCTGTGGGTGGGTAAAAGCCTTCTGTTGGGTTAGGTGACCTCTTATCCCTGGTCTTAGAGCAAAAACTTCCTTGTCCCTCCCTCCCCATGCATTCATTCCATAGCAGACTGTCTGTGTCAGCCCCACTGTGTGTTTGGTATAGACCTGTGTATACAGGGTGACAGAGTGCTCTCGCTAAGCCAGAGACAGGATGCTTAGCTCAGAGATCCTGGCAGTTCTTTGGGTTTAGGCCCAGTGCCAACCAGGGCCTGTGCCTGGAATTGGCCCCGTGTGGATACTCACAGTTAAATATGATGGATGTATATTGATGAGTCACTTCCTTGCCCACTCACTGACATTCACTGGTTTCTTCTCATTATCATTCACTGGTGTTCTCTTTGGGCTTTTTTTTTTTTTTTTTTTTACTACTCTTTCCATACTCGGGGTACATGGTAGAGAGGATTCTTATGTGAGAAGCTCACAGCCACTTCTAGAGTTCAGAAGAAGGTGGACACCAGGCTTGAGGGTGATGTTCAATTAGTTGTAACAGAGAGAAATGAGGAGGGGGAGACTCCTAAGGAAAGGAGTTCCCCTAAGAGACCATGTGCTGGCAGTCCTCTTCCCAGTATACAAGACTGGGGAGCCCAGTCATGACCACCCCCAGCAGCAATTGCTCACAGCTCCTTTGATTCGAGATCTTTTATTTTCTCCTCTTTTTAAAAAATTGAGACAAGGTGTCCTAGTTTCACTTCGGTTGCTGTGATTAAAATATCCCGACAAAAAGCAACCTGTGGTGGGGGGCTATTTTAGCTCCCAATTCCAGATTATAGTTCACCACCGTGGGGAAATCACAGTGTCAGGGTCCAAGACAGCTGTCACATCACACCGGAGTTGAGAGCAGAGAGAATGAGTGCATGCGTGCTTACTGCATGCGTGCTTACTGCTCAGCTCGCCTTCTCCGCCTTTGCACAGTCCAGGGCTCCAAACCAGGGAGTGTGGCTACCCACACTCAGCCTGAGTCTTCCCACATCAGTTCAGTCAGTCCAGATGATTCCCTGCAGCGATGCAGTGGTTCTCAACCTTCCTAATGCTGCAGCCCTTTAACACAGTTCCCATGTGTGGTGACTCCAACCACAAAATCATTTCATCGCTACTTCATGAATCATAATGTAAACATCTGGTATGCAGGATATCTGATGTGTGACCCCTGTGAAAGGGTCATCACACACCTTAGGGGTCACGACCCACAGGTTGAGAACCACTGCCCTACAAGCAAGTCCACAACTTGATCTAAGCAAGCCCTCATTGAGACTTTCTCTTCCTGGGTGATTTTTGGTTGTACCAAGTTGACAATTAAAACTAACAATCATGCCTTTAATCCAACCCAGCACTTAGCAGAGGCAGATGGATCTCTGTGAGTTCAAGGTCAGCCTGGTCTACAGAGTGAGTTCCAGGACAGCCATGGCTACACAGGGAAACCCTGTCTCACGGAAAAACAAACAAACAAACAAAAAAGAACAACAAAACCTAACCATCACAGGGGGTGTCATGTAGCCCACACCATGTAGCAGAAGATGACCTTGAATTCAGATCTTCCTGCCTCTGCTGCCCCACCCCAAATGCTAGGACCACAGCTGTATATGGCCACACTCAGTTTATGTGGTGCTGGGCATTACTAGACAAGCACTCTACCAGCTGAGCTACATCCCCAGCCCCTTTCCTTTTAAAAACACGCTGGCGTTTGTTCTGTCTTCTGGGTGGAAAGGAAGTGTCTCTACATTCCTAGATAACTGAAGCATGTGCTGTGTGGGACTGCTTGTATGTATCTGGGACTCAAGAGAAGAGGTCCTCATCTAGCTGATGTGAGTCATGTAACTACCTTGCTGTGCACCATTACCCAGTTCCACTTACAAACAAAAGTAATTCAGCAGAACTCCTTTCTTCCAAATCTTGATAGACACAAGCTTCTAGAGTAACTGGCAGCAGTCTTTGTTTTTTGTTTTTTTGTTTGGTTTTTTTTTTTTTTTTTTTTTTTGGTTTTTCCAGACAGGGTTTCTCTGTGGCTTTGGAGGCTGTCCTGGAACTCACTTTGTAGACCAGGCTGGCCTCGAACTCACAGAGATCCGCCTGCCTCTGCCTCCCAAGTGCTGGGATTAAAGGTGTGCGCCACCAACGCCCGGCATCAGCAGTCTTTGTATTATTGAGTATCTGCTGTGCTCTAAGCCCTATGCAGGGCTTTAGGGAGATTCCCAACTGACAAGCTCTTGCTAATGTCCAAAGTCTGTCAGGGAAGCTGGACGTGGAGATAGACAGTAGCGATAATGACACAGGTGGGCTACGTGAGCATAGTGGGGATGCAGTGAGGGGGGGCCAGTGTAGACATGGGGTCACATAGATGGAATCCCTCCTTTGAGTTTTAGGGGACATGTAGAAGTTGAGAAGATGGACAAGACGGAGGGAAGAACAGGCCCAGAGGCTTGGTATTGGTGTGACTAGGCACAGGTTTACACAGGGCTCGGTGGGGACGGCCCTGAGTGGCCTGGAGGAGGTCTGTGGACTGTGTCCAGGAGATCAAAAGTTCACAAGCACTGGAGGACACTCTTTAAAATGCAACAGGAGATTCTGTTTTTTATCCACTGTCTGGCCCTTCAAGGACTAAACCTGGGGCATGTGCATTTTATTTCTTAATGACTTTTTTTACATTGTTTTATTATGTATGTGTGTACACATGCATGTGTGCACCACGGTGTACAGATGGAAGTCAGAGGACAACTGGGTTCTGGGGGTGAGACTCAGGTCATCAAGCTTGGCAATAAGTGCCTTTATCTGTAAGTCATCTTGACAGTTCCCATGTACATTAAAAAAAAAATCCATGCTCTTTTTTGGCAATGGATGGGTGTCTGGTGTATGTGCACTTACGTATACAGATGCTCACATCTGTGTGGGTACACACGTGTGTAGATGCAGGTGCACATGTCTGCTGCTTGTGGAGGCCAGAGGCAGATGTTGGCTATCTGCCTCCATCATTCTCCACTTTCTTACTTAACTGAGAGAGTGCCGATTCAGCTGGCGTAGCCAGCTCGCTTGCCCTTGGGATTCCCCATCTCTGCCTCCCGAGCACCGAGATAGATCACCAGCAGCTTTGTAGATGGATGCTAGGAATCTGAGCTCTGGTTGGCCTTTTTGCTTATGTGGCAGGTGCTTTATCTCCTGAGCCATTTTTCCAGCCCTGAATATCTGTGATGTTTCTAAAGATGTAGACAGTGTGATCAAATCTAACAAGTACAAATGGAGCATGACTAGAAGCCAGCACAGATTCAAAGCAGGGAAAGACAAGGAGCCACTCAGGAGGAAGCCCCAACCGGGTTACAAGGCTCAGAATGGTGCTGCAGAGAGGAAGGACTGTGGAGTGACCCTGGGTCCCACTAGAGTGAAGAGTGGACAGTGGGGCATTCATTAACAACGGCAGGATGTTGACTGTGGGGAGGAGAGGGGGCTATGTGGAAGACAGCATGTTCAGTTTGGGATTTATTAAGCATATGTTGGGTGCAGGAACTATTGTGGGCGTTTTACATGCATTATCTCAATCTTCATATGGATCTTTTGGAGGCAAGACAGAAAATCGGGCTCTCTGGTTCCACTGTCTGGGTCCTTAGCAAGTTACTGTCTGGTGCCTCGGATTTGAAGTACTTATAACTTTCTAGTAAAAGTTCAATAACAGATACAAAATGGCAGTGGTATGTCCTGACCTGAAGCCTTCAAGATCATCTGGCTAAAAATGTCCGTTTGCAAGTCATCGCATTCAGCTTCTGTATCCACTGGTGTTTGGATTCTCATTCTTCTGGCCAAAATCAGTGGGGCATTTTCCTTAACCCCCTCCACCCCCACCCCCCCAGCCCAGCCCAGGTTTCCTTGTCTGGAAATTGTGATTCACAGCTCCTCCCAGTTAGGTTTGTGAGAGCTAAGAGGCATCCCATTTATCATGTGCCCACAGCTGTTGCCAGCACAGAAAAGGGTTCTGAGTGGAGCTGCCATTACCACACACAGATAGGGCAGAGGGACGGGGAAGAAGTATGCTGTGTGAACACCTGGATGGCATAGACAGGAGGGCAGGCGTGGCCAGAGGAGAGGAGAGTGAAGAATGAGGGAGAATGGAAAGGGACCAGATGTTCCCTGGGAGGTCCAGGGAGGAAAGGACTTGAATTTGCCAGTGTCACACTGTAGCTCCATGGACTGGCATTCAGGGGCAGGCCTCCCATTTCCTGACTGTGTAATTTGTGTGAGTTTTGTGTGAATTTGGTTCCCTTCTTTCCCCTGCCTTTCTTCTCTGGGCTGCTGGCCATGAGACTTCCTGTGGATGCAGGTTCCTGCCCATGGCCTGGCCTTTCCCAGGAGGCAGGATGTGCTGTGCCCAGGTTCCTAGGCTTGGAATTATACGGGCTTGCCTGAACTTCCTCATACCTGCTTCTTCCTCACCCGCAAACCAGGGATGATGACAGCAGGCTGCTGTGGCCACTCAGCCTCCAACTACCCCCTTTCTCGTTTCTCCTCCATTAACCTGTCCCACTGTCACCTCTGCAGGCAGACTCTGGGACAGTGACTTTATGTGCATGTCCTAGTGAAAGTCTTCCCCATAAGCCTCATTCACAGATCGTATGAGAGAGACTGTTTTGGATTAGAGGATTCAGTTGCTTGCCCACGGTAAAAACAAGTCAGGGTGAAGCTGAGGAGGTGCTGTCAGGCTCCAGAGCTCACTCATGCTTTGTGTCAGAGTGTGTTGCTCTCCAGTGGGAGGTGTGTGCCCTCTGGGCAAGGGACAGTCCTAGAGGCAAGCTGTGAGGTGCAGCAAGCGTTTCCCTGGTAGAAGTCGGGGCCTCCCTCCTTCCCGTTTCTGGGAGGCTTCAGTCAGCTTTACTGGCTCTCTTTCTTCCTGCAGCACACCCCCAAAGATGGCTCTGGTGGCAGAGGAGATGCTTCTGGAAGTATCTTGGCCCTAGCACGTGTGTGGCTCAGCCACAGGTACTTTGTGAAGAAGCCATCTCCAAGTTGAAAGGCTCTAGCAGGCCTGGGCATGGTAAACTGACTTTACCCTCTCCCTTGTAAACCATAGATTGCATCCTTAAAGCTAGATTAAAGGCACACACCTTTAATCCCAGCACTCGGGAGGCAGAGACAGGCGAATCTCTGTGAGTTTGACACCAGCCTGGTCTACAAGAACTAGTTCCAGGACAGCCTCCAAAGCTACACAGAAAAACTAATAATAATAAAAAAAAAAAAACTAACTACCAAGATCTGTTCCCTTATTTGGATACTTTCTCTTGCCCAACTCATTCCTAAGGCTGAACACCAAGATCCCGCTATCAAAGTATTGAAGTCTAGCAATCAAAAGCTCCCTTTTTGACTATCCAACTTAACATGCCCAGTAAAAACATACCACCACACCCTGGCCCATTCTAACACAGATCTCCCCTTTTTTCCTCTTAAGAATCACAGACACCTGCAAGGTCATTTGCTGCTGTTTTCTGCCTGAGTTAGAAATCAACCACTTTTTTTCCCCACTTGATAAAGAATCTCTCTGTAAAAATAGACATTTAGCTATGGTTTGTGCCTAATCCAGGGTCTGGGAGGGAACATGCCATTGTGTGCAAGCTGGTCCCTTTACAAGTGTTCTCCAGACAGCTTCTGGGAAATGTCTCATCCTGGCTTGTTTTAGGGAGGCCCTTTGACTCATTGGTCTGTCCTGCAAATCTAGTTGTGGGGTTTTCGAGCCCTCTGAACTGAAGTGTCTCCTTGAATAACTGTTGGGACCCCAGAAGCCAAGGCCCCCATTCCAACTGGGTACTGAATATATGGGTATAGACCCCAGGACAGCCCCCTGCTTTTGGCCTTTGGGGACACTGCCTAGGCCAGCACTTCTTAGAGTGGGAAGAGGATTTTCAGGGCCTTACCTCCTCTATTCGTGAACCTGGAAGTCCTTCTGACTTAGAGGAGGAAGGGGTAGTGGTATGGCCCCAGCTCTCACTTTACCCTATTTGCTAGCAGCTATTTCTTTGGGATGTGAGGCACTCCTGGGTGCAAATGGCTCTCACAGCTGGGGAATAGAGAACCAGAGGCTCCTGGGCTCTTGAGTGCTGTGAGCTCAGGAGCCACTCTGCCTAACCTCCTTGAAGTCTGGTTTCCTTACAAAGCTCCCCTCCACCCCTCAGATGTCACTGTACAGCAGTGTCCTCCAAAGACTGTCAGCTGCTAATCAGAAGTTTGTAAGAGGGCTGGAAATTCTAGGAGAGTATCATTGAGCCTGAGCAGCCTCTTGTTTTGCTTTGACTTGTGGGGCCTGTCACCAAGACCTGCTGACACGTAGCATTTCCAGCATCTCCGGGTGACAGTTCTCACTCACTCATTAGCCTGTAAAACCAAAGACTTTACTACACTCTGCCTGGCTGCCATTACAGAAAGAAACTTCTGTGTTCTTGGCCTCTTGAACAGTTCATGGATATATAGTATCTAGCCTGCCTCGGTGGGCACTGGACAGGTTAGTGATGACAGTAATAACCAGGGTTCAGCTATGGTAGAAGTGGAGAGTCTTCCAAAACCAATGATTCTGGGTTTGTAGCCTTTTATAGCAGGACCATTGTTCTTGGAAGGCCCAGTCTGTTAGAGCGAGTTTGTAAACGCTTTCTTTCTCTCCTTCCAGTGGGTGTATAATATTCTTGACAAGAAGGCTGAAGCTGACCGAATTGTTTTTGAGAACCCGGACCCTTCTGATGGCTTTGTCCTCATCCCAGACCTCAAGTGGAACCAGCAGCAGGTAAAGACCAGTGCTGGAGCGCTCCAGCCTCTGAGCTCCTGCCTCCATGCTGCTGGCCTGCCTTTGGGGGCCCTGCTCCCTTACAGCGCTGATTACTGTTATCTAGTGAAGAGTGTCCTGAGCTCCTTCAACTACTGACAATGTGTAGCTGCCGTAGGCACCAACTTTTGCTTCCATGGATCAGTGTAGGGCCTTTTCTCACTCTGCTGTTAGCATAGGAGGATGTTTGCCTCCATGGCTATAGGCTATGTGTCCCCGCCGGGCAGCCTTGCACCTGGAATTCTGTGCTAAAAGTTAGTCATGGGAAGTAGGAGTGGACAGGAAGAAGTGCCTCATGAGACTCTTGAAGACTGGAGTGCTTGCTACTACAGGGCGATTACAGCCCAGGGATCACAGAGGGACTTAAAGATAGACTTATACACTTACGTTAGAGAAGCCCCGAATGCTCTTGAGCCCAGGGCACAGAGAGCAGAAATCATCAGCCCTCTGGCCCAGGGCTGTCAGGCATCTTTTCAGCCTACATGCACAGTAGCCCATTTTCTATCCTCTTAAAGACAGGAAAGGCTTTGGACACTGTGCTGGGCCCAGCCACGTGGCTGGAACTCCTCGCTGCAGGAACTGCACAAGTGCCACATTGCATGGTGCCCAGCTCCTCCACTCATGACAGCAGTGAACTTCATTGCTCCTTTAGAACTTGACAACCTCCCCAGCAGTAAGAGAGACCGTGCCTGAGCTCCTGATTCGTGTTCTGCTCTGAGGGTCAAAGGAAGAATCAAGGAGATGGAGAACTCCAGCTTTGAGGATCCCCTGGCACCCTTGAGTCTTGCTTGCCACCTTTCTTCCCCTCTCCCTTTCTGCTGAGAATAAACCTAAGGTACAGACATGCTAGGCAAGAGCTCTAGCTATGAGCTGTGTCTCTAGCCTTAGAAGCATATTTGTTGTCTCCAAACTGGTGTCCCTGGTTATATTCATTTGTTCTTCCTTTTATCCATTCAACAAATACGTAGCAAGTGTCTAATGTTGCTAGAGATTATGCCTTCCTAGGTCATGCTCCCCCTACCCCTTGCTTTGTTTTGTTTACACAGAGTCTTGTTCTCTAGCTCACCTCAAATTTGTGATCCACAGGCTTCCTGAGGTGTGTGCCATCACAGTTTCACTAAGTTTCATTAAGAGATTTCCTATATGCCAGGCCATGGTGGCACATGCCTTTAATTCCAGCACTTGGGAGGCAGAGGCCGGTGGATCTACACAGTAGGTTCCAGGACATACCAGGGCTACACAGAGAAACCCTGGGGGGGGGGGGAAGGAGAGAAAGAGAGAGAGAGAGAGGGGGGGGGGGGAGAGAGCTTAAACTATTTGACCTAAAGTTCTCGGACCAGGAGTCCTTCCTTAGAATCCTTAGGAGTTAAGATAAGGCTAACATTCCTGCCATTCCCAGACTTGTCCCTGGTCAGAAAACTTATTTTTATCTTTTTTTTTCCCTATTCTTTTTTTTTTTTTTTAAGTTTTCAAGACAGGGTTTCTCTGTGGCTTTGAAGGCTGTCCTGGAACTAGCTCTTGTAGACCAGGCTGGTCTCGAACTCACAGAGATCCACCTGCCTCTGCCTCCCGAGTACTGGGATTGAGGGCATGCACCACCACCGCCCAGCCTATTCTGTTTTATGAAAAGTCTCCCTGGAGTGGCCAATGAGCCGCCTTCAGGAGTGCCAGTCTCAAGCCTCACCTGTCCTTGTCTAGCTTTTCTCAGCTCATTCCTCTGTGCCAGGAGGATCTTTGGCTGCCTTCAGGAAACCTGTCATGGTGACTAATGTCAAAGAACGGTTCCTTCTCCTTCTCTCACCCAGCCTGTGAGCTGACACACAGCACCAGCCTCCATGCCTCATTCCATGCCAGTGGAGCAGTTAGTATTAGTGTGGTGTTTGGGATTTGTTCGCTGATACCATTTAAAACAGATGCTTTATTATTTTGAATGTCCCGTGACAGAACACTTGTGTTTCCTGAATTCCCCTTGTACTGCTCACTAATGTGAATGTACATTACCTGGGCAGAAGACATGGAGGGAGAATCCAGACGGGACTTGTTTTAAGGCCTGATGGGCACAGCTGGGACAGCAGCTTTGGGGCAGAGCCCAGATTCTTGGAACTCTCGTGGGAAGAATGGCTGCCATGAAGAGAATGACATACTTGGACACCAGGCATTATGTGGATGCTCTCATTCCCAGTTCTTAAGTTAGGGCACTTGGGGATTTGACTGGGTGACTCATGGTCTCCAAATTATCTGCTTGAGGAATCTAGCAGGTCAGACCTCAGGACAAGGGCTGCTGGATTCTTTCTGGACTTCACTCCGCAGCCTGACACATGACTGTGATAATCAAGCAAGGCCAAGGTTTGGGGAGCAGGGAGGGTGTGGGAAGGGTTTCCGGGCAGGAGAAAGAGTTCATTTGCTCTCTGGCACAGTATCTTGTTGACACTGGTTCTTTGCTCTGCTGTGACCTCCAGGTTTTCAGCCAGGCACAGTTTACAGGAAGGACTGCAGGAAGGGCCCTCTGTGAACTGTCGAGATAGGAAAAGAGAAATAGCTGACAGTTACGGTGACGCTTGCTGCTGACAGACCCCTGGACTGTTTTCCTCCGTGTGTCCCCCACGCCCCGGCGTACACCTCTTTGACTCCACATGCATCGGCTGCCACACTCTCTGAGCCTTCACTGTCACAGTTCTCTCTAGTCCATTCCCCTGGCTTCTCTAGCAGGACTTTCGGGATCGCCCAGCTAGCTGGGGACTCTCGTATTGTGTGTTGGTCACTTTATGTCATGGGGAAGAAGCTCAGTAGTAGAGATTGTGATAGGCATGCAGAAGACCCTGGGTTCTGTTCTCAGTACCACAGAAAGAGAAAAGCTGCCATGCTTTTCTCAGTAGGAATGACAGGGATTAAGTTGTAAATTCCTCAGGACAAAGGCTTGTGCTTGACTCGCTCAGAACTTGCCCACCTCTCCCTGTCAGTTCTGTAGAGTATAAAGACATTCCCAGATGATGAATTTTGTTTTTTTAAGAGGTGAGCGTTTGTTTGTTTTTGTTTTGTTTGTTTTTGTTTTTGTTTCTTTTCTTTCCTGATTTCTCCTACTTTTCAAGAAAGGGTCTTGACTAGCCTTGAACCCTCAGTCCTTCTGCTTAAGTGCTGGGATTGTAGGCATGTACACCACACCTGGATCCTTAAGATGTTTCCACAGAAAGAATACACAGAAATCCTGTTCTTCGTCTCGTCTTGTCATCCAGGACAGACGGACACCTGTAGTACCTGCTCATTGACCCTGCTGTGGGGTCTCCTGGATGGGCCTTTTGGATAGGAGTTCCCTGGCTGGTAACCTCCCTGCTGAACCTGGCATTGTTTCTCCTTTGGTGTCTGCCCAGCTTGATGACCTGTACTTGATCGCCATCTGCCATCGCCGGGGTATCCGATCCCTTCGGGACCTCACTCCAGAGCACCTGCCGCTACTAAGGAACATTCTACGGGAAGGACAAGTGAGTTGCTTCATGATGCAGAAGCCGAGGCTTCTAGGAGATTCCAGTGTGTCCCCTGGGTTTTTTACTTACTCTTCTCAAAGTCTGTCTATATTTCAAATGTGAACACTACTAGAACTCACTAGATTGGTTCACAGGCGGTCCTGCCTGATGCTCCGGCTCTGCTTTCATCTGTCTTTCCATGCCCCCAGACCTGTCCTCCCCTGCCTTTATCTGCAGGTCCCATGTAGGATGCTCCTCTTCACCATAGGTTGGGTCCCTCCCATCCCAGAATCACCTGTCTTGTTCATGACAGTGTGCCAGACGGGTTCCTTAGATATTGGTCACATGACTTGTATAGATGCACATACCTTCTCACCTAGGCTGAAGGCAGGCTGAATTCTGCAGCACCTAATGTTCTGGAGGTACTTTCTCTCTGGGACATTGGAAGGAGCCATGGAGCAGGAGAGGGCAAGGGAAGAATGTCTAGAGGCTTGGGTTTGTGGTCCTGGCCTGATGTTTGGGTCCTGCCTATCTCAGAGCCCTTGAACAGGTCATTTTCTTTACCTCTGAGGTCTCTGGACCTCAGGATCTGTTGGGATCCCTTTTGAAACCACCACTGTACAAGCTGAGCCTCAGCCTTTTTTTCTGAAATATGTAAAGACATCTGTCTGTCATGGCCAACAGCCACAAGGGTGCCTAGCCAGGAGACACTCTGCACCTTTCAGGACAGTACTCGGGTGCTTACTAGAAACTGTGTCCTAACTGTCTTCTCCCCTTGGTGCCCTTCTCTGGCTGTCTTTTCCTTTTTGGGGCCACTAGTTTTTCTCAGGAAGTAGTCTTTGGATATGACCAGTGGCACAGCGTAGTGTTCTCTCAGGGAGGAACTGAGTCTCACTTCTCTGCCCTGGCAGTTTGGGTAGCTTTGCCTGCCCATCAGCTCTGCTTATCCCAGGAAGCACCCCCCCCCCACACACACTGATTCTCTACTGGTAGCACCAAAGGCAGAGTATGATTTGGGCCCACAGAGGCCCACGTTTTGTTTTGTTTTGTCTCTTCTCTGGGGGAGCTGTGGGGTTGGTAGAACTCTTTCTGTCTCTGAGTAAGGTAGAGGTGTGAAAGGGAACCAGGGCCAACTTAAGTGCTTTCTTCTTTTGTAAGGAGCCCTTCCTGCCCTTCCTGAAATCCTCCCTGCATCCTTTCCCTTTTGCCAAGTTCTAGCACAGCCCATCTCCACACAGCCTCATCCCAAGAGGGTGCTTCCTCCTGCCTACTTCAAGACTGAAAGGTGGTGCTACAGGTCTCCAGTCCTAGGACCCTGGGCTGGCGCTAGGAACTGGGACTTCCTGGACTACCAAAGAAAGAAGCCCATGTTTTCTGGGGCTTGGAGTGACTGACAGAGATATTTCCATTGGGGAAATTTCTCAGCTCGGCTGTGTCACCACGTTTTTTAATTTCTTAGAGAGAAGACCAGGACCAAAGGCGGGGCAGAGAGCAGGTGGGGTTGGGGGCGTTGTAAGCCATCCCAGGCCAACTGTAGCAAGGATGTAAGGGGTTCAGCTGGGGTGGTCGGAGGATGGGCTGCTGGCTCCTTGGCAGCATGATGACCCTTTGCCACTGTCTTTCCTCACCAGGAAGCCATCCTGAAGCGCTACCAGGTGACAGGAGACCGCCTGCGCGTGTACCTACACTACCTGCCCTCTTACTATCACCTGCACGTGCACTTTACTGCCCTGGGCTTCGAGGCCCCCGGCTCAGGTGTGGAGCGGGCACACCTGCTGGCTGAAGTGATTGAGAACCTGGAGTGTGACCCCAAGCACTACCAACGGCGCACTCTTACTTTCGCACTTAGGACCGATGACCCGCTGCTCCAGCTCCTGCAAGGAGGCCCAGCAAACCAGAGTTGCTGAGAGTGCCTGAAGAGAGGGAACTTGTGGGCTGGGCTTGGGTAGTGTGGGCTAGGTTTTTATCTCTGAGGGATTTTCCTACAATATATTTTATAGTTTCTTGACCTTTTAGCAAAGGTCAAGTGTAAGATGTATTTTGTACTGTTCTATTCCTCACACGAGAATAAAGTACTTTCTTATTGGTGAGGACTGATGGTCTAGCCTGGTGGAAGGGAGACGGGTGGTAGGGAAGGTGAGTGGGCAGAGCTGGTGGGGACATCTTCGGAATGGTGTAAGTTTTTCAGGGTGTTACCACAATTAATGAGTCACAGCCTCTTGGAAGGTTCGGGACTCCTCCCCCTCCCCCAAGCTTTTTTTGTTGTTGTTGTTGACTCCTGAGTCTAAACTGTTTGCTGTGCTCTCCTTCCTGTCCTGTCCTGCTGTCAGGTGCCTCTCTCAGAGACTCTCCGTTTGGGCACATTCACTCCCACCCCTAAAACCAAATTCAAAGCCTTTCCGGAAACAGTCTGTGGAGGCTTTAGATGCCACTTCCTTCTTCCCTCCCAGCAGTGAGTTTACACCCTGTATGTGCGTCAAGGGTGTTGACAAATTTGGCGAGGGGGCTGGGGATTGATATCTGGAATGAGGAGTGTTTTCTTGGGGATCAGATGATGCAAACCCCAAAGACCTGCCTTTGCTTCTGCTATTTGGTCAGCAAGTCCCCGGCCTTGAGTTTGTTATCTAGGCCGGAAGACAAAACAAACTCATACGGGGCAGCCAGAAAGTTCAGTACACTGTCAGGGCCAAATGATCTGGTTACAGTGCAGGGGCCGGGGGCCAGGGTGTGACAGAGCTTTGCTTCACAGAACCTTGTACCAGAGACTGATGACCAGTCATGGACGTGTCAGAACCCAACTCAACCCCGTTGAGCAGAACAAGGCCACAGCAAGCACCATGAGGTCACTCTCCAGCACAGAGGACAATTGTTTCCTACTGCCAGAGCAGAGCCAGTGTTTACTGTTGGGTAGGGGAAAGCTAAAGATACTGTGCCCTGTTCTGGAAGCTCTCTTCTGAGATGCAGGATGTTGGACTCTGAAGTGACTAGGATGAAAGCGTGAGGAAAAGGGGTGGGTGGCTGTGACTCTGTATCCCCTGGCCTGAGAACCAGGAAGCATGATTGAGTGCACAACTACTGTGTTTGCAAGTGAGGAACTCAGTGGTGGCCCTGATCCTGTCACTTGCTCCAGACCCACACCGCCTGTGGTGGAGAGCCCTTGGACTTTGGTGCTCCTGAGAGATTGCCTATAAAAAGCAGAAGATCAGAGTAGGTAGTCAGAGAACCAGAGGCCACTCTCTAGGCTCCAGCAAGTCCAGGGGAGGCGTGACAGAGCTACCGGTGTCCTAAACCAGCCTTCTCTGCAGTTGTTCAATGCTCCAGGTTGAGGCATGTCTGTGTCTAACCACCCACGTGGACTTGTAGTTATTTTGATGGTCAGCAAAGCAGGTGTGTCTTACAGAGTGTAGGCCAGATCGTTTCATGGTTGCCACACAGACTAGTGGTTTCCTGAGCAGAAAGCCAGTACTCCCCTGGACAGGGCTGTGTGCCAGTGCTGAGGGTTTGTGGAGAGGAGACTGACTGACACCTCTGCTTACAGCTTGCAGCTTGCAGGGCTGCCTCCTCCGTCTCACTTGCTCCTTTCTCAGGCACCAGAAAGGTGACCTCTTCCTTGAAAGCAAATGGCACTGATGCCCCGGAGTCTCAGGGGAATGTGACATGGTGGGTGGGAGATGCATTGCAGAGATGCCACATGAGGCCTCCCTCCAGATCACACAACCCCTCTACCACAACACATGCTCATTGCCCCCCGCCCCATACCAACTGTGCTGTCTGTGGGTTCAGGCTCCCACACAGGCTGACTTTCGTGTTACATGCAATAATATCACTGCATTTGGCTTGTATAGGGCGGGGTGGTGGTTAGATATACAACCTACAGGGAGGGAGCAGCCTGCTCATTCATGTAGACAAGCTAGAGGGGTCATGGAAAGGCCAGGTATACCTCCCGAGGGCATAGACCTGTGCTCTGGATGACTATCTGGCTCCCCATGCCTGTTCTCCTGTTAACCAATCCTGTCTTCCTTTTGGCTTATTCTGCAAGGAGGTACGTGACTGTCTAGAATAGTGACATAAATTTTGTTTACCTGATCTCAGAGAGGTCTCTTCCAGGCCTCACTAAGTTTTCTTATACTTGGAAGTATAAGAAGAATATAGTTTACTTATACTTTATTTAAAAAATAATAATTTATTTAACGTGCACTGGTGTAAAGGTGTCAGATTCCCTGGAATTGGAATTAACAGTTGTGAGCTGCCATGTGGGTGCTGAGAATTGAACCCAGGTCCTCTGGAAGAACAGCCAGTGCTCTTAACCGCCGAGCCATCTCTCCAGCCAAGTTTTCTTATACTGATCCAGTCTCTGCCTGAGGTCTGGCAAGGGCCTTTTCAGAGTCAGCCAGTTCTCGGCACTATCCAACCAAGATGTTGGCAACTCTCCCCCAGGCCCCAGCACCCCACCCTCATCTCCGAACCCCAACGCCTCACTCCACTGAGGCTTCTGCCAGGCACCCTGGCTGGTGGTGTTGAGATCCTAACAATACCCTTTATGTCTTTATGGGGTGACCTTTACTGACAGACTCTCCTACGTGACTTGTCTGGGTAGCTTCACATACTTGGCCTCTTTCCAATTCTGTTGTATCTGTTGGTTTTTGTTGCCTTTCCTGTTGGACTGAGAGGACCTTGAAGGTAAGAGCATCTTACTATTCTGGCTTGCCAACACCTGGGATCCTGTCTTGATTGGGCAAAACAGTTTAAAGCAAATCAACATGGTGACAGTTTACATTTGTATAGCAAATCATTTCATGGAGCTCTCATCCTCTCCGTATATTGTTACAGGGTGTATGTCAGCCCCCAGGAAGTTGAAACTTCTGCCCAAGGGGCTGTAGAAAGACATTTATTCAGTTTGGTAAACACAGGGAATGGAGCTGAGCCTCAGTTCCCAGACCAGGGCAATGTGGAGTGACAACCATCCCTCTGCCTCAGACTTTCCTCCTACTGTTACTTGAGAGCTCAATGGGCTGTCTCCTGGGACAGAGCTTCCTGAGCAGGGTACATTATGCTTAATCCTCCCTGACCAACTGCAAATGCCAACTCTGCCCTTGCAGTGAGCTTCATGCTGGGCCAGTGGCCGATGTTGTCCTTGCTGGATAAATCACAGACACCTCCGAGAGTGGCTTTTAGCCTCCAATGCTTGGCTGCTTTCTTCCTGGCTTGGTGAGAGGTAAGAAGCAAGGGACACGTGGCTGCCGCTGTTCCTTGGCTTCTCTGTGCACTCTAAACCTCCTCCTGGAGCAAGGTTGTCAGCACAGAGGCAGGGGAAAAAATGCATCCAAGCTCTGTTTGGCATGTCTCTGTTGAATAAAAGAGCTCTAAAATGAGAAACAAATCAAGAAACAATCAGACACAAAGTGATAGTGGAAAACATTTCTCTTGTGATAGTTCCTTACCCAGAGCATTTGAATAGTCTTTACCTAGGTGTCCTTGGAAGTTTGATTACAGAACATACCCCTGAGGCCCAAACTCTGGATGTTTAAGTATCTCAGGTGTAATATTGTCGATGCAAATCCTCCTGTAAACTGTGCTGCCTCTGGGTTACTTACAATGTGCAATGTAAGCACTTGTTACTCTACTTTGGTTAGAGAGTATCAAGAAAAAAGCCTGCGCTTACATAGTTTTGTATATGCTTTTACACTTCTATTTACTGTGTATGAGTGTTTTTCCTGCATGTATTTCTGTGTACCATGTGTGTGCTGTGCCCATGGAGGCCAGAAAGGACATCAGATCCCCTGGAACTGTACTTACATATGGATGTGAACCACCATGTGACTGTCAGGAATTGAACTTGAGTCCTCTGAAAGAACAGCCAGTGTTCTTAACTGCTGAGCCATCTTTCTGGCTCCATGTGTTTTATTATTTTGCTATTATTATTATTATTATTGTTTGTTTTTTTTGTTTTGTTTTTTGAGACAGGATTTCTCTGTGTAGCCTTGGCTATCCTGGAACTTGCTCTGTAGGCCAGGCTGGCCTCAGAATCAGATATCTGCCTGCCTCTGCCTCCCAAGTGCTGGGATTACGGGCATGTGCCACCACTGCCTGCCACCCATATTTTTTTAAACAGCCCAAAAGATTGAACTCATGGCTTCATGTATACTAGGAAACTATTCTTCCATTGAGGTACATCCCAACGTTTTTCCTCAAAAGAAAGTTGGCGGGAAGAGGGCAGAATCTTGAACTTATTGATAACTTACTTGTCTTTGCCTCCCTGGTGCTGGGGTTACAAAGGCATCACCGTATTTCACATTTCCACATGGGTTCTCTGGACTGTCTCTCTAACCCTAATGGGCAATGCTCTGTTCTTCTAGGCTTTGGGAAGCAAAGCAGTCTGCGGGCTCCAGCATGTACTCTGCACTACAGTGCAGTCGTGTATACTCTAGAGCAATTTACGTACTACTCGTAAAATAGGGTGACAGCCACGCCTACTCCATAGGGTTTATGAGGATGGAGTAAAGGGATTGCTGAGGGGCTGGAGAGAGAACTCTGGTGAAGAGCACTGGCTGCCTTTCTGGAGCACCTGGATTGGATTCCCAGCACTAGCACAGCAGCTCATACCACCTGTAACTCCGGTTCCAGGGGTCCCACACTCTTCTGGCCTCCACAGACACTTACATGGTACACAGACATATGTGGAGGGAAAACATCTATACTCATAATTGTTTTTAAAAATATTTTAAGCATAGTAAAATTTTAGTTAATTTTTCTGCCATGAAAGTGATCCAGAAGGAAAGATTTTGGGGACTAGATACCTGCCGTGGCCTCTGTATGTTAATACTCTGGCACCTCAGAGGACAGTATTAGAGGAGGGCCCTTGGGAGGTGATTAGGTCATAACAACAGCATCCTCAATGGTATTAGTGTTGTATTACCATGCTCGGCTGTTTGTCTATAAACCGGGTTGGCCTATATCTTAGTTAGGGTTTCTATTGTTGTGAAGAAACACCATGATCATGGCAAGTCTTGTGAAGGAAAGCATTTAATTGAGGTGGTGACTTACTTGAGAGGTTCAGTCCATTATCATCATGGAGGGGAGTGCGGAGGCA